ATCAAATGGGAGTGCTGAGCATGAGACTTCTTTGCAGAGAGGAAGAATGCTATGCTCATACCCAGGTGCTTCTCCAAATCTCCCCACACCACATACAAATCACCCATAAATTATTTTCCACTCAGGCAGAAAAACAAGGTGGGGGGAACTGTTTCTAATGTTAATTATATTTTTGCAGAATTTCTGGTTGTAACATATTAGTTCTGCTTACATGTGGTATTTCAAATAACAAGACACCAAAGCATCACTCACTTGTAATGTCATAGACTACCACAGCAATGGTGGAGTCGCGGATGTAGCTGGGAATGAGACTGCGGAACCGCTCCTGGCCTGCTGTGTCCCAAAGCTGCAGCCGAACCTGCTGGTACCAGGCCAGGGAGAGCAGAGAGAAACAGAGAGAGCAAGAGAGAAAAGAAAGGAGGAAACTGTCCTTTAGAGAAAAGGCCATTTCTAGAATTAACTGTATGCAGCTCAGCCTGAGAAGCTGAGGTTAACCCTGAAGTCTTGCCCCAAATATTCAAACAACACACAAGTTGGCTTTTCTGACTCTGTTTGTACATAACGTGCTTTAATTACCTCCTTTGCTTGCCCAGAGATTCTGCTCTTCCCAAAAAGCTCTAGGTTGTGGCTACTACCTGACTGCTGGTAGCAGTAGCTAACAATGCAGAGCTGGTCTCCCCAGGACTGTGCATGGGGTCTCCTAGCCTAGAGCATAACAGATCAAAGCTTTTTGGGCAATTCCCACGTGACAGACACACAATTCCCTCAGCCCAGACACCACGCAGTAGACCCGCATCCATTCTCCAGCCTCAAGCATCCAGAAGATGGCAATGGGGATTTTCATGCAAGATTAAGGCAATCAATAACTTAACTTCCAGCAGAAACAAAAGCAGATGTTACACACTATAGGCTTCACGTGACACAAAGGGCATCAGTTTCTCCCTTTCAGATAAGCACATGAGTCATAAATAAGCACAACAGCGATGAGAGGCACGGTTTGATCTCCAGAACTATGCCCAAACACAAACTGACCTATTCTATATGATAGCTGTGAGGTCTGTGACCTGCCTGTTTGAAACAGCAATGTTCAAAACATGCCCAGCTCCCACAGTGAATGTAAACCAAAGCATTTCACAACTGGGAGCGATCCCGTTTCCTTCCAAGTCATTACCCCACACAGCTAGCTGTACAAGCAGTGCTACGGTGCCAGGAAACAAGATTGCTGTTGGCATCCTCAACACAAACGAGCTTCACAGGAGGGCAGATCCTGGTTCCCAGCTTAATTCCATGAATTGGTCAGATGTGCTCACAAAGCCTCTTGTTCAGCAGTGGGGGAGAGCAGCTGTTTATGCACAGAACAGCCGTTAATAAGGCAGCTTGCCGGAGCCTGGCTACAAGGGAGAAAACAGTTTCAGAAGGACCAATAATTGGCTTGTTTAGAAGAGAAATATAAGCTGGACAGACCACGTGTCTGCAAAAGTGTCTTGCCACAAGCAGATTAAAAAAACCCATTGTATCTACATCAAGGTATGTAGACCCAATGCCCTGGGGTTTAAGGAAGATTCGGGCTTCCAGTTAAAGCAATTAGCTCATGCTTCCTTTTGAAGGCAGCCTTGATTACCGTAGCAAAAGTCTGGGCTCTTCATTACCCCAGGAAACTCAGGGTGACAAACTCCAAACACCTGGACAATATTCCACCAGTGCTGGAAGATCAGATTGATAACGACAGCTCGTGGCTCTGGCTTCTGGACTTCACAACAAGCTTCCCCATAGTCCTCAAGACACTGCTGCCACACCAGACTATTCACCCAGGAAGTTTACCAAGGTGGCGATTTAAACACTCCAACCTTCAGACTCACAGTCAAAAAGGCAACTGGAGGAAGTACCCCAGAACCAGGGAAGAACTGGCTCTGGTAATCATCTTGTAGCGAAGACAAACAATTTCTCTTTTTCTTCTCAGCTCTCCACGTGCTAGCTAACAGTTTTTCCTCTACTAGTTAAGAGTATCTTGGCTGGTACTCAAGTACGTCCTATGGGACTGTCCCTGTTTTACACCACCATGAGCTGCATTAACTTACAGGAGGCTATTTGAGGTTCCCAAACAGTTACCACTAAAGACAACACAAACACAGAGCTCTTCAGAGTGCTAAACTGTGTTTTCCTCATCACACTAGTGCTCATCGTCGTAATGCCCTCAGAAGTATGTTCCTTCAATAGCACAAAAACCCTAAAAGCCTCCCAGTCACTAAGAACAGAACAAAGAGCAGTAACAAGAAAAAATGAAATTACTGAAAAGATCAGACCATTACCTAAGTATGATGAGATCAGCTATCACTTAATTATTTTTGACATGTCTGGAAGCTGTTAAGAACAGCCTAGACTGTGGTAAGATTTTTCCATCTGCTTGGATAAACAGCGTCCTGTACCCATCACAACAGTGGGGAGAAAAGATGCCGACCTACGCAGCCTGCCACGTAGCCTCACCTAGATGAGTTCCCAGTGTAAGCCATCCCGTGCACACCCCATCACTCCTCAAACCCCACGCAGATCACTTCACCCGTGCATTAGTTCACACCAAACCAGAAATCCTCCCAGAGCCAACTACTTAAGCTACAGGACTGGGAGAAAGACTGTGTAATTATCTGCCCTCAATATGTCAGATAAATCAGAACAGAAGTTTATTATTTGTGAAGCACTTCAGTTAACTGAAGCAAAACAAACCCCTGGTCCATAAAGCCTCACTATAATCTAGAGATGGTGACAGAACAAAGGTGGGCCAGAGGTTTTTCATCTGTGCTATATTCTTTACTTAGACTTTGTCCACATGGTGTTGGCTCACTTGTATAAATCCTTTCTAGATATGCTGATATTGGAGCTGAATCAAAAAAGCCACAGCAAGTGGAATCAATAACAAGGAGCTATAATGATATAACTGTATTTGTATCTTCGTATCTTATACTAAAACATTCATGCCAAGAGTTATAGAGAATTTCCCTCTAAGACTGTTTATTCTTTAGAAATGATGGCAGTTACATCTCTTCTCTTTCAAAAGCTCTCTGGTTAGTCATATGAATCGCCAGCTCTGTTCTTCAATGAAATGGGAGTCTTGACTCCTCCTAAGTCACTACACAGCTTTTATTTAAATGAGTGTTGTACTGTTTTACCTATTCTGACAGTATTTCTCTGGCATCTGAAGTCATTACCTGTATTACCTCCCTAGTCATCCAAAAAGGGGGGGAAAAAAAATCATTCTGCAGTTTAAAACAAACCAACAAACCCAAACCAGAAAAAGTAAAAAGCTTTCTAAAGTCTACCAGTCACCTTTCATTCCAGCCAGCACAGACGCACAAGCAGTCATAAGCCCTGTTCACCTACCTGCCAGTCCTCTGTGTATCACTTCCATTGCCTGGGCGTTGACCAGACCAGGGTTAAACAATTCCCCAGTTTCTGTATTATGGGATGGAGTTACCACTGGTAAATTCCCAGCTACGTCCCCTCAGCCCATGAAACACATATAGTCCCGGGGCTGACAGCCTATCTTAGCCCTTTTCAGATAACAGCACCACTTCCAATGCATAAAGGGTACGTGATAAAAGCAAGGTCCCTGCAGACACTCCAGCTCAATACCTACTTGTAATGTCAAAGACAATGACAGCCACAGCAGAGTCACGGATGTAGCTGGGAATGAGGCTGCGGAACCGCTCCTGGCCGGCTGTATCCCACAGCTGCAGCCTGATCTGGGAAATGGAAAAGTGTAGGGGAAGAGGGAAGGGGAAAAGCAGGAAAATGGAAAACAAAACCAAAACTCAAGTGAAATAAAAATAAAGAAATTGCAAAGCAAAAATAATGCAACAAAAGGAAAGTTAAAATGGAACAGAAACGTGAAAAGAGCCCATGACACTTCTCACCGCATTCTCACAGTGACCTCAGCCTGGCATGCCTGAGAAACCTCCCTCCCTCCACAAGCCCCTTCATACCTCCAACACATGAACCGGTTCTTCCATTTAATCATAATACCAAGTTATCCCTAAAACATACCTTCTCACACCATGTGCTAGTGCAGGAGATCAGCATACCTACCTCAGCACACCCTGCCATGTCAGGACTCTGTCTGGAACGGCCACCGGAGCAGACTGCAGCCTCCAGCTGGCTAGACACGGTCACTCTAATCGTGAGGACCACATTGCCCAGCTCCTGATGAACCCACCCGAAAACCCGATGTGCTGAAACACAGCAGTGGCGTGTGAGCCAGAGGAGCAAACACCCTCTTGACTGACTTATCTTGTGCTTAAAACCACCAGGCCTGGGACGATATCGAGACACAGAAAAGGAAACACTACTCAGTCTTTCAAGAATGAGGTTGTAGCTGTAACATGGAACTGTCAGCCTGACAGTCCGGACTGAGGATGCAGCTTCTCGTGGCCCCAGTCCACGCTGATCTGGCACAGATAATATTTCAAGATACATTATTTGGTGTAAGGATGTACCAAATATGACAAAGCATATGTTGCAGTTAGAGGCTTAGCATTCTTCATTTCCAGCCTAGCAGCCAAAGACTGTTGCAAAATACAGTATTAGCCCTATCTGAGGAATTATTTCAATGTCTGAATTTTCCTAGCTTGCGTGCTTGTATTTCTCCCTCCTCTTATCTACATTCAGCACCTCTGTTATTTAAACAGGCTTTATGGGCTCTGAGGACCACTCTACATAATCAGGAAAGCTAACAGTATATCCAACATTGGAAAAAAAAAATTGCATTTTTCTGGATAGCAGGCCAGTGGGTGAATGACATCCTGAGCTACACAACCACAAGAAATCAGGACTACACTGCTGAAAACAGCACACAGGCATTCCAGCTTGCCTTCACAGGCATCAAGCAGAAATCCCAAGATCTTCTTCTTCTTCTGCTACTGCCAGTACCATTGAAGAAAGTCATCCAAGTAGTTTCTCTCAAAGACTAAGTAAGGTCTTTTCTCATTCTGAACGCCTGGTAAGATGGCAGAGAAGCACTCAGGAAACTCACCACACACAACGGGCTGAGACTTCTTCAGAAGCAACAGACCCAAAGCAAACACAAAGGACTCCCACTGCACGACTGGCCCCATCTTCCCCACAACAGTTCCATGCTTCTCAGCCAGTCGTAAAAGTAACACAGAAGCAAGTATTAGCAAAACATGAACTAACGAAAGAGAAATACTGACAGGCAGGAGAGGGATGGGAGGGATCTCTTTATGCAAAAAGTAATCACATGCAAGCTAAATCCAAATTTGCTTTTTTAACAGTACGTCAGACCTGTGTTACAAAAAGAGCCTTTCTATGAGGAGGAAGTATGCCACCCCTGGTAATCGTGAATGACTTCAAGACTTGGAACTGCCTGGAGTCTGCTCACACCCATTTATACCAACAACCCCAGAGGCAGAGCTGCAAATTCTGGGAGCAAACTACACCCAAGGTTACACATAACAGACAGCCCATTGCCCGGGATATGGACATTAGCTTGCCCCAATTTTGCATGAAAGATTTTGACTTCATTCTAGAGGTATCAGATATTAACAAGGATCAGAAACAGGAGAGTGACTTGATTCAACAAAGGCCATCCCTCTGAAGGCTGCTGTGGGATTTCAGCGGCCATTGGAGGGATGGCCAGGCAAAGCAGCAGGCACAGCCACTGCTGCTCCCGTGACTGCAGTTGCCATGCTATCGCACAGATGCTTCACTTACCGTGCGATCTTCAAGATACATTGTTTTTGACAGGAAATCAATTCCAATGGTTGCCTGAAAAGAAGAAAAGCATTAGTAACTGCAACCTGCCTTCCAGCATCTGCAAATCAGACCTTTCGTTACAAACTCTCAGAAACGTTCACAAACTTATAATTAAGTTGCTGACGTCACTTGCCTTCAATATAGTTGATAAAAACAAAGCAATCTGGATATCTTTACCATCTTCATTTCACATCATTCTTCCAACATCTCTCAACTGCACAAGAACCTCCAAGTCTTGATTTTAGCCTCAGACATTCATGCGTCTTAACACAGATCATATCTGATCTGGCATCTCCTTCTGGTCTACTGCAATTCAGTCTGGTAAGAATTATCTTACTAGAAATAACCCAAAGGTGGAACAAATTACATATATAAATTTCAGGCAACTGTGCAGAAAGCTAAAAAGCTAAAAATGTTTATTCAGGGCTTTCCATTTCAGAATGTGCTTCTTTTCCAGCAACATTCAGAAGCTTAATTTCCCAGGCAGTTATTTCTGTAGGTCTCCTTCCATTCACATTTCCATTGTGCTCCAGCAACTCCAGTACAAAGACATTTAAAGTCATTTACTAAGCTAGATGCACTCCCAGAAGTCCTAGCCCATCATAACCCTGAGAAACAGGAGACAGGCTACTGATGTACCAGATTTGAGTATTTTAGACAGATTATCTCCAGTCTTAACAAACGCAGGCAACATAATGTGTTCTGGAAGGTCTCCATCAGACTAAACCATTTCACATCAGAAAAGCCCACACCAGCCAGTTTCGTAGTGAGTACTTATTTCTGGGAGTCCTATTTTCTGCAGCCAGAACATAGTTTATAACAACTACAATAAGCAGAGAAATCCAGCAGCACCTTATAGAAATCAGGAAAAGAAACACTGAAAGCATAAGAGGATCCAGTTCATTCAGACTTGTCCTCAAAAAAAAAAAAAAAAAATCTTCTCTTCCTTTTCCAGATTAAAATTACTGCATTCTAAACCAGTAACTCTTTCTGGCCTGAATTCAAAGAGAACACCATAGTCTCATCCTCCTTAAAGATATTTCATATTCCCTTGAAACACTGCCAAGTGCTTCTGATGCAGCTAACTCCTCCTGAAATCCTCAGGCCTCTTACACATCTTCAGCTTTTCATCTGCAGCCTCTTCATCCCTACCCTACTCTTTACCCTGCCTTTTTCTACCTATAGCCTTTTAGTTAAAAAAATTGTAACACAAGAAAAATCAAGAGAGAAAATATACCATGCTGACTTCTTGCAGATCTATCCATACCCTCCAGACTCAACTATTCCTACTTAAACAGAAAGCCTGTAAAGATGCTAGAGACCAAGAACTATCATAAGCATGAATTCTGTTTCCTGAGACTTTCGCTTCCGTTATCAGGCATCCTGACTATCATCTTCTCTGTTAGCCAACTGCATAAACCAATGTTTCTCCCCTTTTTTCTCAAGGCTTCTCACATATCCAGGCAAGATCTAAACCTTGCTTCTTTTCTGTATTTCCTGACATCATATTAGATGTTTGGGCTCAATCATAAAGTCTCATCTCCATTTCAAGGCACATTACAACCTTACATATGATAGTGAACTGACATCTCATGGCCAAATGTGCTTGGCCCTACCAGTTCTCAGACTGGGGAACAGATTTACCCACATATATTAAAAAAAAAAAGGAGAGAGATTCTACCACATACCTGGTAAGTATTGTCAAAACTGTCATACATAAACCTGGTGATCAGAGAGGTCTTCCCAACTACAAAAGAAGAGAAAAATAATTTTCAAGCAGCAGTGGAAAAAAAATAACCACTGTTTTGGGAGTGGCATGCTGGTAATGCTGGTCATCAGAACGAAGCTGCCAGTCTCAGGATATTTCCCAGCTACACTCTCTTGTGAAACAACCAGCTAAGACATTCACTCACAAAATCACAGAAGAACGTTAAGCCAAATCAATCTCAGTAGGTCAAAAATTCATTATGATGAAAACTTGGCCCTCACATTAGGTGTGTTGTGATGTATATGACAAAGAATTATTTGTTTGCTGTAAGCAAGCAATAAATCTGCTTTCTTACTGGTATTTTGCTACTTGGGTAATCACCAAGTCTTGGATTTCTAGACACAAACATCAACACAAGACAGGTGATGGACTGGACAGTGTTTAGCTGCCTCTGGCTAGACGGAAGAGCAACATTCAAGATTTGCAGCCTTTCTTCACAGCAAGATTTTAGATACAGAGTAGGCTTCAGTGGCTTGCTTAAAAACTTTAAATGTATGTCTCCAAATAATGATCAAGAGACAAAGCGCTGAACTGACAAGAACAGGAAGCCAAGATAAGATTTCTGCTTCTCAGGAAGCTGGGAAAGCCAAGCAAAATTCAAAGGACATGGAAGAAACAGAAGAGAGAAAAGGAATACACTGCCTAGAAAAGTTGTGAGATTGTGAACACTGGAGAGGGTTAAAAGAGATTAGACAAACGTCTATCAGCAGCAATGCTGATCCCGCCTTGGCAAGGCAGGGGAATCAGACAACTTCTGGAAATTCCTCCAAACCAACAGCTCTGGGATGGAGATGGAAGTAAGCAGGAAGAGATCGAAAGAGAGTAACACAGCGCAGAACACCACCCTTCCCAGAAAGAAATACAACTCATCCCTACATTCTGACGGAAGGGGTACAAAAGGGAGGCAACTTCCAGGTAAAACAAAGAAATGCCATTTATTTTCTCTCTCCACCGCACACTCGGTGCGGACACGGCCCGAGACACCGCACACGGGGCGCAGCAGCCCCCCGGGACCCACCGCCAGCACGGCC